GCTCGCGCTCTCCCACTCTCTCTCAATCTGACTAGCCCTTAGTATCTGTATTCATGCTTTTCAGATTATCATTCATGATTCAAGTTTTTAACCAGTATTTCCGTAACTTACACGCCCTTGCACACATACTCTTCATTCATTCTTTCACTCATCTATTCATCTATCCATTTATTAATCTATTCGTCTCTTCATATAATCGTCTATTTATCCACTAATTTATTCATCTATTCATCTTTTTATAAATGCATCTATTCGTCAATTGGTCTATTTATATAATCGTCTATTCGTCGATTTGCCTTTTCTTATATTAATCTATTTATCTATCTTATATTAATCTAATTTTGTATTAATATATTCATCTATTCTTGTATTAATCTATTTATCTTATCATCTATTCGTCTATGAGAATGTGAAATTTTCCAATTTGATATTATTTTTAAGATGCGTATACATTAATCATCATTTTTAGAATTCTTTTAATCTGTTGGTAATTGATTGATTAAAGGACTGACTGATAACTTGTTGCTTAATTCATTCATTCCGATGTGTTAACTGCCTAGTGCCTAGCTTACTCAGTTTACATCATTCATTGCTCTCAAGGATTTCCTTAACGGAAATCTGTATAATCAGTTTCCGGTTCATAAACACACATTAAATACATTAGACAGGGCTCCGGATCCTCAAAATAAAAGATTCACGGACAAGAACCCCAGTGACATTGAAATCATCTTTGCATTGAGGGTCATGAAAAATTACGCTTACAGTCCCTTTAATGTTAATTCATAAAAAAATAAATACCCCAGGTAGATTTAAGAAGGATTAAGAAAACATTCAGGATTTAATCCGGAATTTCAAAAAGTATCTTGTCCTAAATAAAATGCAAATATTGACATTTAAAAATATAAGAAAAAAACGTTGTCATCTTTATTAGGAAATTTATCCCGACATATTTTCATGAAAATTCTGCAAATAAATTTACAAAATATTTACTTCCATAAAATCATCATATATCATTGACATCAAATAAAAAAATAAAAAAAACTCTTCTCAATCATTATCAATGTCTTCAAAGACTGAATTATACAAAATAGTAAAAAAGATGAAAAATATTTTAATTGACAAATATCCTAAGTTCGTTGTAATTACAATTTTTATAAATTGTATACATAGAAACACAGGCTAGGTTCCTTGAAAACATGTTTATATTTCGATCTTTACATAAAGATTCCCACTCCTAATCCCCCCCCCTCCCCCACCCTACAGTTGGGAGAGCATTCATTCATTCATACTTAACAGGGATAAATACTATATATACATCGTAAAAATTTATTACCGTTATAAATATAATTTGTCTTTCATTTTTTCTAAACTTTTTTTATGTAGATATATTCAACCCTGTTTAGTAGAAGCAGATGCATGCCTTCCTTGCTTCCCACGTCATTTTGTGGCCTTAACAGAAAACACTACATACTTAATACACTCAACATATATAAAACACACTCACAGTATATGTAGATAGAAAGAGTATATGCGTAATAAACCATATTTACATATATATTTAAGACTCAACAAATGAAAAGTAATCTTCGATTATAAAAAACACTTCACACTTGAAAAACACTCTTGAAGTGTTAAGATGTAATAAAAACACTCACAAATGTAATAACACATCCCCTCTTATGTATAACACTGAAATGCACTTAACAATTGTAGCCTAAGTCCTCATTAAAAAAAATATAAAATAACTACATTCCATAAATGAATAAAATTAAGTACTAAAAAACAATGCTTAGGGAGATCCGAATCCAATGACACGACAATGGAAAAATGAGAGATTATTTAAAACATTTTAATTCGTGAATGGTGCATTAAGTTTAAGCATAAAATAAGCGGAAAAAAACGAAGAAAAAATTTGTCAATTTTTAATTTGTTGGTAAATCTGAATGAAAACCGCATCTGCATTCAAATGAAATTGATCCTAAGCACTAAAAAGACAAAGCACACGATAAAATGAAAGCTGTAATTGATAATTCATGCATTGGGGCTCATCTTATTATATTTTCAGAAATTTTTTTTTCAATAGATGTAAAAATGTTCTTATATCAACCTTTTGTATTTTTTTTCATATTCATACCACCTCTTTTTTATTTAATAATTAGAATTCATTAGCATAAATCATTAATTATATGTGAATCAATTCATTCATTTATTTAATTATCATATATAAATTAATTCATTAGTCAATTCATTCATTTACTTATTCATTCATCGATATTTCTTTTCTTTTGTTTATTTTGAGTTGACTGCACTGGTTCTATAAGAATATGCAAACCCCGGAGAAATTTATTAAGAAACCCGAAACTCAATCTTAATTTTTGTAAGACAAATTCCTGAAAAGAGTTTTGTGCAAAAATAAGAAACTAATCGCAAGTTTTTTGCAAACCTGAACAAAGACTGGATACAGTGCAAACCAATTGCAGTAAAACTCAGTTCCTGGTATACACTATACATTCACATATTTCTTATACACAAAGAGGACCGGGAGAGGGGGGGGGTCTCCAGCTCTTTCTTTGTTAAAATCTTACATTTAGGTCACAAATCAAAATGATTCTGAACAGAAAATATCTATATGTTTTTAAAAATCGATAAATCCTTAAGTTTTTTTATTGTTTAATAATTTAAAAAAATGCAACAGAAAGGGCAACCTTTAAAAGTTATAATCAAAGTCAAAGATGGACGTAAGGCACCCTGAAAGCCTAACATAATAAAAATTATTTATATTCTTTACAGGAAATATTTTTAAAAAACCTGAACTCGATCGCTCTTTAGTATAAAATTAAAAGTTTTAGGGGTTAATGAGCTTATTCTATGCGTTAACATACATTTTAAACTTTTAAAGTTTATAAAAAAAAAATTCTAATTTAATCGTCAACTGATCGGATAAAAATTAAACAATTAAAAATCATCCCATGCAAGGCTGATGTGCACCATATGAGGAAGGAAACTTTTCAAATCTGATGGCAGATTTTTTTCTTCTCAAATGCTCATTTTAGAACATTAAGGCCAAAGTAATTGAGTCTGTCTTAAACTTTGATAATCTCTTTATCTTTGCAGTTGTTGGTGTAAACCTTTGCTGTTTCAAACTTAGATTTTATGATTGAACAGAATTTGAAATATCTAAGGTTTGGTGGCAAGCATACAGGGATTAGAACATCAGAGTACACAATTCCTTTAACAAAGGTTATTACAAATACCCCCTTGTAAATTCATTAACACTCCCCTTAAAGCATTCAGGCCAACATTCATTGTTTCTGCCTGACTAGGCAACAAGGCAACTTGCCTTTCAATTTATTTAGCCATTCATATGTATCTAGTTACTTTTCTATACATTCTATTTTCCCTTGATTTAAATTTTTTTTTGAGAATACTTAATTTTTTTTATATGAATGTATATTTTCAGGTTTCCAGAAACCTTTAAGAGGTATACTTTTTATACTTTTTATACTCCAAAATTCGTGTAATATCCCGTTAAAATAATTGATTTCCCCCAAATTAGCGAATACAACCCACGAGAGGGGTTTGGTGTGTTATTTTTCAAAAACCATATCGACTTAATCAATTTTTTAATGCGATGTTAAATGTAAAAACATCAAAACTTGAGACATTAAAAATTTACATGATTCACTCTAAAGCTTCGTAAGAAATTTTCTTCAACAAATAACTAGTATTTTTAAATTGCTTTAAATAAATCAATTCAAACACAATTTTTGCAATTAATAAACATCTTTATACCATGATTATTGAATAAATAATTTATAAATCAACTCTAAACAGTTCAATAATAACTTTTTATAATTAAGCATATTTTACCTCAAGAATGCTACATAAATTAATTCTACAAATTGTAAGAAAATGCCCCAGGAATGAAGTTTTATAATAAAAATTCTACGAATTTTTTTTTCTTTTTTCTTTTTCATTTAATATAGCGAGTTTTCTTATCGGTTAGAAGTTGTAACATTTTCCAAGACTTAAGATTTAACGGCCAGGGAAAGGGATGAGAAGACGTTCATTTTACTTTGAACAGATTAAACAAGAAAGACGTGAGGGTAAAATGTCAGGACGTGGATTAAAAAAATCATTAAAAAATATTTACCATTTAGTTGGAGCACAGGAGCAAGGTTTATCAACCCAGGTTTCATCCCTTGTATCAGTATCTCGGGTTAAACCTTCTCCACAGTGATATAAACCAGCCTTCACACAACACATACAGCTTAACGTGTCCACAGCGGTCTCTGCCGAGCATAAACAGCCGTTATCACACAGCCAGGTGGAGGGCAGCGGTCGCGCTGACCGACAAGCGTCACAACGACAACGGCCGCACTCACCGCATATTATCGAGGGCGAGGAGAGGGGCGGCGGTTCTGTCGTTTGTAAACAGGTTTGGGGTTGTTTAATCACAGCTGATATATGGTTTGACTTGGCTTTATTAGAGATAGATCTAGGTCGGGTTTTCACAGAGCAAACTTTACCAGATAAATCACAATGTGAAGTTAATCCTTTTATAGGAGTTTCCACATAAACATTTTGTTGTCTCACAGTTCTAGGATTGGTAAGGGAAATAGTTTGGTCCAAAGGACTACTGGAGGAACTAGATGACGAGAAGGACGGGGAGATAACACCCAAGCTTGGCGATTCAACACGCACATTATTACTAACAGAAAGACTAGAGAATGGTATTGCTCCGCCTTCCAGCCTGACTGGGGGCGTGGCAAGGGTAGAGTCTGGTCTAGGAGGAGGGGTAGGAGCCGGTTGACGAACTGCTGCTCCAGGGCGAGAAGGTAAAGGCGGGCGATGCACGCCTTTGAGAGCACGGGAGGCGTGTGCAGGGGAGTGGACAACGGGTGAATTTCTGCTAGGTAAGGAGTGACCTGGTAGGGAGGGAGAGGACCGGGAAGGGAGTGTGGGTTTGGCAGGACTAGGGAGGGGCGGGAGATTAACTGCGGCAAGTGTAACTCTCCGTATTCGTCGGCCATCATCCATAACTTGTGTCCCTGACTCCCCTTCACCCTTCCAAGGAGGGATTGAAGGCTCCTTTAATGCCCCTAAACTTGTACATAATGTCTCTCATGTAAAAGTGGCAAATGTACTCGGTTGAACACTGAAGAACTCACATCTTGCATTGAACAACCTGAAAATATAAATTATAAGTTGAGAATCGGACGTTATGTTTATATTTATCCATCGTTACCTAATCTTTCCCTATAAACACACTAAATTATATATTTATGTTGGGGGTAAGGGGCTGGGTGTAAGGGGTGTACGTGTAGGACTTAAAGGGAGTGTCCGTGAAAAAAAGGAAATGGGGTATAGGCTTACGGCAAAAAACATGCGCTTTTGATCGCTACTAATCATATTTCTATATGTTGCGTCCACAAGGAGAAAATTGTTAAAAACGACTTATACCGAAGAACGTAGCGTTCATACAAATTCAGAAAGTTGCAACATTCAGCTCGGATCGTAAAAAAATCAATTTAATTCCGAACAAATCATTCAGATATTACAACCAATAATCATCGATAATTTTTCGACGCATTCGTATAAAGTTAATATTTCATAAGATTTTTAATTTTTTTATGATCTGATGTTACTTTTGAAAACATTTATTCCTGTTTCGAGGATTTTTGATAGATATTTTCATATATTCCAGGAATGCTCGAAAATCCAGCGCCAGCGAAAATTTATTTGAAAAAAAAATCAGAAGTATTATGGAATATTAACTATATACGAATGCGTCGAAAAATAATCGACGACTATTTTTTGTAATATCTGAATGATTTTTTAAAATTAAATTGATTATTATACGATCCTAGTTGAATGGTGCAACTTTTTCTGAATTTGCTACGCTACGCTACGTTCTTCACCATGAGTCGTTTATAACCATTTTATCCATAGACGAAACAGATAGAAGTAATATAAGTAGCAATCAAAAGCGCTTATTTTTCGCCGTAAGCCTAAACCCCCTTTTTTTCGCGAACGCTTCCTTTAAGCAATAAATTAATTCACTTTTTTATTTGTTATTCTCTGGCCGGAGTAGTGATAAATCAGCTTTACTTTTACTCGTACAAGAAAGATATGTACTTTTACTGTAAGTACAGATATTGAAAAGCCTTTCTCGTGTCCATCTCAATTCATTAATTTCACTATTCTTTCTTGAGAAAACAAGTGTGTACAAAAAAATTAATGACATTCTAAGAGTACCATGAACTCGTTAATGAGCTTAGTGCCATAATTTCTGCATGAATTTTAAGAAACCTTAATGATAACTCGAAACATTTAGAAATTAAAAAAACTGAAGAGATTTTCTGAAACTTCCTGGAAAAAAATCTTAGAAAACATGAAAAGGGAGATCGAGAGAAATGGAATTGGAATAGGGTTTCGATAATTGGAAACTTAAGGTTGGCTCGTGAAAAACGAATAACAACGTTAGGAGTATAAACGATTTTTGAAACCCCATTTCCTCAAAAACGGCTGTATTCATCATTATTTTGAAATCTTTACAATTTCGAAAAAAAATTTCTTCTAGATTAATTTAGTCAAACTCAAATCCTGAATTTGTCATTTGTCACATGTGCATGGCATGCTAGTGCCACTATGTAGTGTGCAGACCGAGCAGGCCCGTAACTAGACATTTAAAAATCTAGCTTAATATTTCTTGAAGAAAATTATTAAGTTCAATTCATAACTTTTTTATGAATTGTTTACTGGGGCTTTTGTCAGCAATTGAACGTACTTGAATATGTTTGATATTTGGCAAAAGTTGAAAGTTGAAAATTGCATAATGCATAGCTATTGCTTGAATACAAGTACATTTTTAATAGAACCTTTGCATATGCAAAAATGTGCATATAAATGATTATACCGCAAATTTGCACTCGAGCAAAAAGTTAAGGAGATGCATTTCTATATTTAACACAGGATTGTTAAGCTTTAAATAATTATAGCCCCCCCCCCCAAACATTTTTACGTTCATTGGAGGGGAGGGGGTTATATCTTATTAGCGTCTTTGGATCAAACTAACAAAATATTTCTAGAGTTGATATTAATATAAAAAGTAATGTTTAGGTAAATATTAAAAGTTAAAAATCGACTAGCTAATTTACTCCTGTATTAGATAATAAAATAAAATAGTGGCGTCCGTCTTAGAAAACGATTTTTGGACCCCCTCCCTCCTCCTTTCAATTTGTACATGACCTCTTATTTTTTTAGGTTAGGTTAGGTTAAAACAATTTCTGGGCCGAGCACTGCGGCTGGGACTGGCTAGGAGTCCGTGCGCCGCGGCTAGGGGGCCGGGAGCTGCGACCACATGATCAATTATATCCTTGTTAGCCATGTACAAAATTGATAGGAGGGGGGGGGGGGGGCCCAAAAAATAGTTCTCTAGGAAATTACCAATCAGTGATTTTACAACTTGAGATTGTAAAATAAAAAATGGGATTGAATTAGATCCGTTTTATTTTAAAGAATTTTTAGCTTTAATACTAAAATAATTCTCTGGTCTGCTAACTTTTTAACATATGTCTCTAATTTTGAAATAGTCTTTCTTTTTCTACTTCAGAACTTTATTTAGTCTGCGGTAGTTAATATCTCGTTCTACGTTCAAATGTTACATGTTTTAATATCTTAATCTTTCTAAGAACGAAAAACTAGCTTTCCCGATTTGGTATATTCCTAGAGAACGATTTTTTCCCCCCCCCCCCCCCCCCATCTATCAATTAAAATCTTGTATATGATTATTTTTACCAAGAGCTAAAACATTAAGAATTTTAGAAAAAATTAAGATTTCAGTAAATCTTTATATACTTTAAACTGCACTACGTTTAAATTTATTCAAATCAATTGTATCAGTGTATATATATGATTATTTTTACCAAGAGCTAAAAGATAAGAAAACTATGAATGAAGAATAGAAAAGATAAGTTTTATAACATGATTTCAAAATTTACCGGAATTCAATAAATATTTTATACGTAAACTGGAATTAAGCGTCCATGTTTACTAGTTTAGCATGCTAGTCACAGTGAATGTGTGTACGGAGGGGGAGAGAGAGAGGAATCTAGTATTAAAAATCATGAATGGCAGAGCTGGCAAGTGACGCGGCCCGCCCTGGGCAGCCTAGGCATCTACACTCGGCTAGTCGCAATGAATGAACTTATTTTCCCACATTTTAGCCATTTTAACCAAGAAAAAAATGATGGAAAACGTGTAAGATAAAACTCAAATATGAATGGTTTCAACAATACCTTATATATGTTCAAATAAGTAAAATGTTGTCCTATCAAAGCACTTTTAACTTAAATCTTGAGCGTACACTTCACTCCTCTGTGCGCGGTGTTTTCAACTTGACTGATCCATTCTATATTTCTCTCTCTGCACACTGCAGCCACAACTCCCGCAGAACTCGGGCCCCTCACAATTAGAATTCCCCAGCTATCTTCTCATATTTCTGGCTTCGGTCAAACATGTGATTTCATTTTTTTTCTAGGATTTCTTCTGATTATTCAAATTATAGTTTTTTTTTTTACTTTTTAAAGATATTTATATAGAGGATCACATCAAAATGACCAATATTAAAGATTAATTACATTTACCCTGAATTCAGGGGCGCGGAATTTATTTTAATATTTATATTTTAATATTATTATTTTGATATTTTTAATTTCGAAACAAATGTTTTGTTTTATTTGAATCAAAAAAGTTATTTAATATAATTTCCATGTTTTAATAATCAGCAAATATTATGCAGATTCATGAATTTACAGACAGGAAAGCACTGAGCACATCTTGCAGGAAAATTCAAACCGACTTTAAATTTTCTTTCTTTTGATTGTTGAAATAATAAAGATATATGTATTTTATGCGTTTACAAATTAAGTACAATAACAAGATTAACAGAGCTGTGCAATCTTTTTCATTACAAACTATAGCTTGGGAACCCAGCTTTGCATGGAAACGGAATTTCTTCTGCAAACGTCAACCCAGCCCGTTAACTTAGGAGTTTCAACCAATCTAAGAACATAAGGGACTGATTCAAGAATTGGTCCAGGGGGCTAAAATTTGTTTCTTTCGCACCCATTCGTCTGAAAAAAAAACACTGACACCCATAGATTTCCCTGAAGAACATTTCTATGGTTCTAACGAGTTCCCCAATCAAGATTAATGGCAAATTGCACGGTCAAGGGGTTCATGAGTTTTGATCGTACAAAGTACATACAAACTAACAAACGAGCGTAACGATAAACAGAGATATACAATATATCTACATACTTTAAATTATATAGAATACAATTACTTGTATCACGCACTTCTGACCCTTCAATAAAAGTAAATTCAACCTAAAGTCTAACCGCGTCAACCTTATTGCACCGGCTAGTTCTATTGAGTGTCTGCTTAATTTACACAATGTCCGGGCGATACAGTCAAACTGGGACCGAAAAGGTTGACCCGGCGGCTCGGAAATTCAAATATACTACGGCTGCCCTTGATATGGTCATATTATGAAGTTCTGTAACACAAGTTTTCTAAACGTATTTTATTCAAGTGCACTTTAAAGATTAACCCCAGCATTCTTTTTCGATAATTGGAAACTTAAGGTTGGCTCGTGAAAAACGAATAACAACGTTAGGAAAAGTATAAACGATTTTTGAAACCCCATTTCCTCAAAAACGGCTTCACTGAGGCTGGGAGACCAGTTTTGCGGGGCCGGGAGATAATTCTGCAAATCCTGAGGTTCGGAGATCATTTTTGCGGGGATCATGGCGCCTCTGCACCCCCTCCCTCACCGAGCAGGCCCGTAACTAGACATTTAAAAATCTAAATATATAAAGTTGTCATCTCGTTTTTTTGTATTGTATGTCTGATAATAACTCATAAACAGACTGATCTGCCTCAAATTTAGATGGGGGGGAATGTCAGGACTCAGAATAACGTTCTTAGCTTGATTTTGAGATTCTAAATTAAGAATGGATTCATTTTTAAAGGGAAAAATAGCTAAATTCGTGATTTGCGACGTTGCGCGGGTAAACGGTGGAAGTAACTATGAGTACTATTAGTTCCATGGCAAAATTTGGCGCGTACATATTCCACTGTCCAGTGGTATAACAAAAAAAATCCCCTTAGGAAAGAGTGGTTTAAAAAAATCAAAAAAGCTGCATATGCCTCCGTATTCCCTGGATTCTGACTCTAAGTAATATAGGGTAGGTGGCGCATCCAATAGTAAAGCTTTGTTATTTGAGTCCGATGTAAGTATCAAAAAGATTTATTTAACATAACCTTTTAACAGAGCATTTTATACAAAACATTTCCCTGTCAGAATCTGATCATTCCCTTCGTAATTCCAAGCAACTATAAATCAAATTGAGGTGTTACTTATTTGTTACTTGTACATGTTAATCGTCCCGAACACTGATCCACGCATGTCTAAGTGTCTGGTTCCTTTATCATCTTTATCTGAGGATCAATGAGTAAGATATCGTGGTTTTAACTTTAGAACGTATTAGATTCTGTATATTCAAATTTCCTTTATCTCTGCTGATAAACCTGCGAGACTCTTTTGTATAAACTCATATATTTATTGCAACGGACATCAGACAATTTTCCAGATTACCAATATCAGCTTCTAAGTTCTAACCCTTGATCTTAGCAAATATTAACATTTTTTTATCAAAGGTTGGTCAGTGGTGAGTTAATTGCTAATACATCAACATGTTGATAAAATAATTACTAATAATCATAACTATATCTACTAAAATTTAAAAATAAGATGAAACATCTTTAATTTATAATCTCACGAATTATCATGAAGCATAACGTAAATCATTAATCATTACCAAAAAAAATAAGTCTGCAATATCATTATGAATCCTCACAAGTTAGCGCCAATCTTAAAAAATCATCAGCAATCAATTATTGATCAATCATCCTTACTCCTCTTTAATCATAAATTACTATTATGAATCATTAATAAGTATTAAAAGATTTTTTAAAAATCAAAAACCATCATAGATCATTATAAAAAAACGAAAAAAAGAAAACCCCGTGAAAGATATTTATTATCAATTATAATTATTAATTTATCATCTTCATTCATCGAAAATCATAAAATCATGATTTGTTAAGATTTTTAAATATTGCGATCATAAACATAATCTGACATAATCTCTGTTTGTAAACTGTACAGGGTGTCCCTATAGTGTCCCAAAGGACAAGGAATTTAATCTACAACTTTTATATCGCCTTTTACTATACATGGTTTTGAGAATTGTAACAAACCTTTTGTCTTTTTTTTTCCTACAATCATGGCTCCCTTATTAATCATTTTCTAACAATTATAAGATTTAAATTAAAAGCAGAGAGCTTAATTAATTTCTTCATTTTTGTTGCATTTTTTTGGGTAAAGGTAGCCCCCTGTAGTATCCCAATTAACACTTTTTTAAACATCGAAATGAACCTATTATTAAGATTGACGGTGATATATAGAACTTGCTTCATGTTTCAATTTAATGAATACAATGAAAATTATTTTAACATTTGATACAGGGTAATCCACACAGGATGTGGCTTTAACGACGATCCAAAGGTTAGATTTTTTAATGAAAGAACGATATTACTGAAAGACCGTTTAGTCAGAAAACGAGCTAAATAGATGGAAAATGAACGATAATTTTGAGAATGAACGAAATCTAATTTTGATTGAAAAAAAACGAATTGTATCGTTCACGTATGAATTTAAGAAACATGTTAAAAAGTCATCAAATATTCATGAATTAAATGTTGTGTCAGCTGCTGCAATAAAATCATAAAAAGATTTGAATTCTGACTGTTAATACCCGATATTTAATATGATTTAATTATCCAAATAATCATAAACTTGAAAATACAGTACAAATAAACTTTCATCTACAGGATTATCCGCAAAAAAATGAGACTCAAAAGGGCTCTAATACATTATTTCAAGTTTATTGAGTGGCATGTCCGATTTACAACGGTACTCTTTGCACTGTCATCAAGACTGGATGAGCTATGGTTCTCTTTTTAAAATTTGATTAGTGACAATTGCGGATTTTTACACTCAGAACAGAAATAAACATCTTTAAGGCTAGATAAACGACGATATCCTCTAAATAATTGATCAGATAACGGTTTAAATTGTGAATCGGACATGCGCCTCTTCCATTAGACGGTGGCTTAAGGAAACACAAAAATCCATGTAATAACCTTTAACTCCGTAAGCCGTAAATAAAGCTGTCATTTAGTTTAATTTCGTCTTTGAATAATCTTAAGTCTTTTAAAAACATATTTATTTTATCATAATTAATAATTTCTCTTGCGTATTTTTTTCGCCAAATTTTTTCATTTTGTTTTTCCAAAAATTTTTGCATTTGATTTACGCGGAATTTCCGCAATTTTTCGTGAAATTTTCGCAGTTCTTATTTCGCGAAAATTTTCGTAAATTATGAACAAATATGAACAAATGCGAAATTTTCGGCAACAATTTTTTGCGTTACGATTTCCCCTTTTCGCTGGAAACCCCACTTCCAACCTGAACTTTGACCTAAAATTTCAATTTTTGTCAGAGCTGGGAACTTTTGCATGGATATCGTTAATTTTGAACTTTAGATCTCAATATCCAATGTGGGCGCTTTTAAATGTGAAGAACAATGCTTAATTCATTCATAAGAGTTGTACCTGCAGGGTATGACCAATACGGGATTTCGAGGAGGAATTAACGCTTGTTCCAGAAATTCATGAAAAACATGAAAGTCATGTTTATCTAAAATTATCCAGCAAACATTTAACAAGTTATTGCAAAATATGTATTCCCGTAACACACATAATATTAACAATCATAGTTTGTAAATATAATAAATATAATTTAAATGCCAATTAGAACAGTTTAACAAGAGATTAACGAATCAGTAAATGGATGAAATAAACTGGGTTTATTATTATATTACATAGATTAAAGGACTGAGAGCCTAATTTCAAGCCAGGGGGGTCACACTAAATTGCGCTAAAGAACTTATTTCAAGAAATTGACAATACCGCGGCCGAGTAGAAAAATACCATGGCCTTTGACATAGTTTGACCATCTTGTCTGATGTCTTTTTTCTAAAAAAGAGAAAATTTGTGAACTTCTAGTCATATCAATCTGATTGTCATTGTTGTAAAAATAGTTCAAAACAAAAAGTGAAGATATTTTTAAATGATAGAATGGAATTTTAAGATGGATGTTTCTTAACAGACAGTTTGGTTCAACACTTAAAACCGCGGATGAGCCAAATTTTCGTGAAAGCATAAGTTCTACATGATAAATTTACATTTTTAACCTATTTAGAACAGGAAAAATAGATATTTTAGCTTTAACATCACGATATTATTAAATTTCAACAATTTAAGAAAGAAAAAGGTGATAAACTTTAAGTAAATATTAAAATCAAACTAAAGCCCGGAAGAGTACAAGTGCCAAATAAAAACGCCATAAACTGTGCAATGTCTTTGCGTTAAACAAAACATATTTATGTTAAGAAAAAATAAATGTTATAAAAACTAATTTTTAAAAGATTTTAAGCGTAATATCAAGGAACCTTCCATTGAAAGAGGGAAATCCCCAATTCACAACGATACCTACGGTTACAGTCCCCGTAATCAGACCAAAATATCTTTTAATTTTTCTAAAATAAGCTACAATAACATAGATATGCTTTTCTGAGAATGTTGAAGACTTTAAATTAGAAGAACACGATTCAAGAAAAAAAGAACATGATTAAAGAAAAAAAAGAACATGATTCAAGAAAAAAAAGAACATGATTCAAGAATTAAAAGAACATGATTCAAGAAAAAAAAGAACATGATTCAAGAAAAAAAAGAATAATATGACTCAAGAAAAAAAGAAAAAAAAATGACTCAAGAAAAAAAAGAATAATATGGCTCAAGATAAAAATTCTAACGGAGTTCATCAGAATTTGTCCTAAGTCTGTCACTGAATCCTCTATTTCATAGAACTGTTTAACAGCAAGTCAAACCACAGGAAAATTTGTATATTGTGTAAACGGAATAAAAGCAGAGCTAGGTGGGTATTTTGATGATATTTACAGCGAGTTTTTCAATTTCAAAATGCTTTATGAACTTTTTTGATCTTGGACAACTTGAATATTTGGATATTCTTGATCAATGATCATCCTGAAGAGAAGGATGATCTCTTGCTGTACTGATTTGATCAGAAGGATCTTGATTATCAAGAAAACAACGATCATCCTATTGCTCTTGGAACAAAATTCTGATCATGATGACTTTGACGTAGATGATATCCAATATCGATCATATCATTGAAGAAAATGATAATCTTGATATTCATAAAGAAAATCATGTACATGATAATCAAGCAGAATATGAAAATCTTGACATCCATAAAAAACATGATAATCTTAATATCCATGTAGAAAATTATCTCATTTCTGTAAATAACATGATGATCTTAATATCCAAGAAGAACATGATGATCTTGGTTTCCATGAAGAACACCATGATCTTGATATCCATGATGATCTTGATATCCTTGAAGAACATGATAATTTAGGTATCCCACTCGGAGAACATGATGATCTTGATATCCATGATGATCTTGATGATCTACTTCATCCCTGCCCTGAGGAGCTCCTGCTGCAAATAGTTGAGGGTATTCAAGAGGGATTGTCTCTCAAGGACAAGGTCTTCAACCTGCTTCTGACAATCTTTCAACTCATCCTAGATAAAACTTTTCGTCAATTTATTCATTATATTGCCAGGTATAAAATATTTTTATTTACGGATAAACAAACTGTAACACTTCAAGCCATTTCAGGTTTTATAACTTAACTGCTTGACTGAAGAACTGAAGAAATGAAGAAATTAGATGATTTATAGAAGGAAATAAATGATTTTATTTGGAAAAAGTATCAAAAATGCTAAATAAGGAACAATCTTTCAATTTAATACCCAATTTTCCATTCCCCCTCCCCGCCCCCATTCATAATCCCCCCTAAAATTAAACACCCATGCTAACTTTTTCATTCATTCATTTATGATCTGACCTGTTTCTTTATAGTTTCTCCGACAAGTTTGTCAGCGTTAAGATCTTTCTCCGCTAGTTTTTGTCGGAGGAGTAGGATTTCAGTTCTTGCAGTTTCAAGATCATCTTCAACCTTGCTCCGTCCTTCTCTACTCTGAACCTAGATATAGTTTAGTTTTACTCCGTTCTACTCTATTCTGCATACATAAAAAGCAGCAGGGGTGTATATAATTCCATTTTTTTTATTCTTCCCCCCCTCAAATTATTTTTTGATTTCCTTCCCAAATTCGAAAACTAAAAAGACATAATTTTTTAATATTTGTTTTGCAGTGCATAACAATCCCTTAACTGATGCATTTTAAAAAGCATAAATGGCGCCGAAGGCAAAATTGGTCAGGCGGCAATTCTGCATTACAACTATTGTGGAAAATTATTTATGAGAAGCTCTCTGATTTCATATAAAATTATGTAGTTATGTAGAGGTAAAGAGCTCCAGCCCTTCCATTTATTCCCCTTTCCTTCTCTTCTTTATCTTACAGCCTTCCATCGATTCTCTACCTTCCCCTTCCCTATTTACACTACCTTCAAATCAAATCATACTTTGCAGGGATTCCTTAAGGCTACTAAATAAGGGTTCGAGTACAAGTGTTGCCAACATTCGGGTTTTTTCATACTGAACTCTGCACTTAAATCAGCTTAGCTTAGGAGAGTTAAAGATTTGAAACAGCTGGTTTCGGAACTCTATATTTGATTTTGAAGGCAAATAAAATAAAGTTGACATAATCCTCAAATACAAGGTTACCCAAAACAGGATGAGACTTCAGAGACGACTTTACAAAAATTATACCGGCTGTTTCCTTATATTATTATTCACGGTTCTATTAAACTGTAACTGTTTTTTTTTGTTTAGCCAAATCACTAAATAAGCCATTAAAACACTTCATTCAATGCAAGACTTAATTTAACCTTAGGATTGTCCTATTAAACTAGTTTCAGATCGTCTTTTCAGTATCATGTTTGTGGGGAACTCTGTATTTATTCCTGTAACCCTAGAAATTCTTGGAGAATTATTTTTTAAATCACAAACTAACCTGAGTAGATGCGTTAACATCTGTGTCTTCCACAGGATTGGATATTTCAAGTTCTCCGCCTCTTTTACGTTTAACCTCTAAGGCGGACACCTTGAGGTCTACTGGGGGCGGAGCCGGAATCCCTGGAGGAGGCGGAGTATCATCCTCTAGGTGAAGGCAGATGTTTTGAAGGCGGAGTAGAATAGGTAGTGGAGAGGGGAGAATCTCATCTTGGCTCCATTCAACCAACCTGGAGCAAACATGATTCTACATGGTGTCCCGATAAATATAGTAATTGAGTGACATTTTTAATAACACACCTTTTAAAAAAAGCCTTTTCAAAGACGATATGAAGAATTTTTAATTTAGTATGGTGATGCCTATGAGTAAAGCTGTAATCAGGGGCGTTTACAGGATTTTGTCCTGGAGGGCGCATACTATTTTGTACTTTACAGGGAGGTGCGCATTCACCTGTATAAGCCCTTGCCCCCCAACCTGAATTCTTAGAAACAAAAACTAACCTTGCTATTGTAGATGTGACCAGCTCTAGGTTGAGATCTTTAGCTCTGAGCTCAAGAAATCCATCTAAAACCCGAGAATTGATGATGTAAAATCATTTATATTTTGTTTTATTAAATTTTAAGAAGGGAAATTTTCAATATTAATTCTATTACTTTGGTCTTTAAATAAAATTGTATAACACTGAATAGGATTCCTATATATATTTTTCAAGTCATTATTTAGAGTAAAAGATTTAAGAAAACCCTTAAAATAAAATTGCTAAAAAAAAGAAATTTTAACAAATGAACTGAAAAGAATATGAAAACTTTTAAAAATAAAACCGTAAACTAGAACATATGTTTATAAACTTACTAGATGAACAATAATAATTTAAGTATTACGAGACCTGAAACCCTAGAAATCTTCTCTCCTATAGAAATCTGCAGATCATCTGGAAGATTCTAAAAGAAAAATTATCAAATTTCTTTTCTTCTGATGCTCCAAACTATGACTCGACCATTCTGGAGGAATGTTAAGTATTTTTGTAGCTTTCATAAGTTTAACGTAATAATTGTATTAACCTTGCCATGATAGCATTTTTTTGGCTCTGAGTAAGGCTGAAGTATTTTTTCGTTAAAGGGAGTGACCGGCTATGTTAGGTAGTTGAACTGGGTATGCAGTGTTGTGGAAAACTTCTTTCGGATTTATTTGAGACATATTAAACTTTTTAAATATCTTAAAATTCTATAACTCTTTTTACATTTTATGTAGTCGTTATTTAATAATTTAAAAAAAACTAATTCTGAAAACGTATCCACCACCAAAGTAGGAGTTTTGAACGTCGAATTTGCGCTCAAACTCAGGATTTACAGATCTTTAAAAAGTTTAAAATGTCTCAAATGAATCCGAAACAAGTTTTCCACAACACTGCATACTCAGTTCAACTACCTTACATAGCCGGTCACTCCTTTAAAGATGGTAGGGAGGAAGTGAGAAGGGGGTGAAGTATCTTATAAGCAGTGTGATTTATGACATCCTTCCGAATCTATTAATATCTAGTCCATGAACCAAGATATAACATGATATTGTAAATTCAATAGATTACAAAAAAGTTGAGGTGTTTAGACTATCCCTAAAGGGGGGGAGAGGTGAGGAGGAGGTAACGAACCTGAAGAGCAAGATGAGGTTGAGCAGGTGGAGAAGAATCTAATCTGAGTTTAGCAGTCCAGAACTCAGGGGGGCATAGGGTAGAATCAGACCAGCCTTTCCCACATTGATTAAACCTAAAAAAAACATTTTCTAATGTGCATCAGAAGAAGGAAATAATTTCATGTCTAATTATTGTTATGGAAAGGTTCATTACAGGAAAATTTGAGGCAATTATTGAAGAAGAGTTTGTTAATTTTCATTATGAAAGATAAGAAAAACGACATTTAATAAATGTCATGTGTACTTGATGTTGTTATGAAGCACATAGTGTTACTTATATAGCAGCAAGAAAATTAAACTTAAATGGGTCTGTGTCATAGTCTAAAAGTCGTCTTCCTGTTCCAGTCATATTTGCCAAACAGTAGGTTCAAGATCAAAGATCTAGAGTGAGATCCATAAAACTTTGGAATAGGAAGGTGAATTTTGGACCTTTTGAATCCTTGCTTTAGTTGGGTTAGAAAAAATAGGTTCCAGATCCATCTAGGTTCCATCATCTATGATCTAGGTTCTATGGTCCATGATATAGGTTTGAAAATCTAGAACCTAGGTTCTAGATTTTCGATTTTTGGTCATGGGATCCAAGATTTAGGTGGGTTAGAGAAAATAGGTTCTAGATTCAATTAAGATCCATGATCCTGGTGGACTTGAGAATCTAAGTTCTATGATCCATGATCTAGGTTTGACCTGTTTTGAAATGTTTTCCATGAAGTATCAAGGATAGGATCTAAACTTAGACTTCCTAGGCTCACAAGTATTGATGATACATCTCCTGTAATTCAAATATAAATATCCTTTTTTTTCTTAAATAAAAAAAAGACAACAAAAATTTCCAAATCAATTAGTTGAATAATTACAAATCGTAAGACTTGGCTTTTATTTTTAAGTCATTTTGAACCTGAAGTATAGAAATAGAACCCCAAAATTCTGATTTGATGTGATATAGAAATTTTAATTAAACAAATATTCAAATATTGAATTATGCCTTGAGCTGACGAAAATGGGCTTTCTCTTACGCCTGCTCCGCCTCCTGTTCCTGCTCTATCCCCTTCTCCTGATTTTGGTTGAGCTGCAGGTTTACTAGCTCCCCCTAGTTGAGCGAACTGGAGACGTCCCAGATGCAAAGTTAAAACACTAATTTGGATTTCTTCCATTTCCTTCAAAACAAGATCCCTCTTTTCATGCATCAGTTTAAAAAAAACTGAGCTGCAAATTTAATTCGAAAAAAACAACAGCCTAATTAAATCTTAAAAAAACCATTTCATAAAATCAATAAATCAATCAATCATAAAAATTGTGAAGGAGGGATAGAATCTAAATTCAACTTTTAGGATAAAAAGATTTATTCTTTTTCACTTAAATTTTTTCCTCCAAAAACTAACAAATTAAGCTTGTTAACCTCAAATCTTTTTAAATAGCGGGGAAAATCTTTTGTGTGTGTTTGTGGGGGGGGGGGAGGGTTTCAAGTAAAAAAACAAAAGTTATATTTTTACCTGAACCTCTTGGCAAGGAGTTGATATTCTCATTTCTTGAATAAAATCTAGAGCCTCACAAACCTCCGTGGCAACCTCTGCTGGACTCCAGGATCTACATAATTAGTTTTTCCGTTAAAAAACACCAGATATCTAATTTTTTATATGTTCAGAGATTTGAACCCCAAAACACCGTGTACATTTAAAGTTATTTAACAAAGATATTTTTATTTTATTTTTAACCATCTATCTTTAATCTATATATATACAGAGGTTTATTTTTATGTCCAATCATATCTCTGTTAAGGCCGATTTCTAAGGGGTCTAGCAAAGATGGCAATGCCCGGTTTACAATGGTACCCTGAAAAGCTTTGTCTGATCAAGTTTAAATTAGATACGCATTTCTTGCTTAAAACGACGGTATCTTCCATATTTTTGATCAAATTAACGTTTCAAGTGTACCGTTGTAAATCGGACATTCAACATTGCCTTTTTTTTTGCACGGAGAGTCACTTGAAATTACGCTTACAGTCCCTTTAAAAAAATAAACAAATATTACCTGTCATCTTTCTGAACAGAAAACAAATGATCACTCATATCATGTCCAGAACCAAGAACAACGAAACCTAGAAATTATATAGTAATACTTAAACAACTGTGGAAAAGGAAGACGACTGTTAAGATTCAAGTTATGATCACAATCATTCCATTAGCAATCCTTGAATGCTTAAATTCCAGTCAGGACATTAAAGTGGTCAGCCGGGACAATAAAGTGGCCAGCCGGGACAATAAAGTGGCCAGCCGGGACAATAAAGTGGCCAGCCGGGACAATATGAAAAATCTTTTTGTTGCGTTTTTTAAGTCATGATGACGGATGTGGAAGGAAAAAATGTTGTCAGTAGGGCACAGTTGCCCTCAAGCAGGGAAAAAATATATTTCATATTGCACATACCTAAGGAGTATTTTTTTTTAAATAAAATCACATCAAGAGCTTTTCGGATAATATTTCATTATAACCTTTTTTTCTAATTTTTACCTACGGTCAAAATATAAAATCAATGAAAGTAGGTCATGTGAGGTATCAAATCATAGATTTGTTGATTTTATTCCGAGGTCTCTTTTTGACCATAGATGATCCTGAAGGTATTTGACCTCCATATATCAATGACCTCCAGAGGTCTAAATATAATATCAATGAAAATAAGTCATGTGAAGTATCAAATCATAGGTTTCTTGGTGTTCTGAAACAAGTATTGGGATCCTGTTTTCAGTCCGGGTGTTCCAACTGTTTTGGACCTCCAAATATTAATGACCTCCGGAGGTCAAAATGTACTTTTCTTCCAAACATTAATGACCTCCGGAGGTCAAAATGTACTTTTTCTTTAAAATTTAGAATCCATTAAAATGGGACATGTAAGGAATCAAATCGTAGGTTTCTCATTATTCTGATTTCATTCCGAGCCCCCTTTTGACCTTAAATGATCCTGATGGTCGTTAACCTCAAGATGTATTTGACCTCAGGAGGTCAAACCCTAAATTAAAATTTTACTTTTAATATTAGCCAAAACTTACCCTCTGCGTCCCAAGTACTTTCGCCACTCTCGTCACTTCGCACACTTAGAGTATCCAGGTCCATATCAGGTGACCGGCTCCCCAGATGACTCACGTGACCCTCCTAGGGCAATAAAGTTTCTTGGTATTATCTTATTTTTATTTTAAGTATCAATTGGTATCGATAAAAGGACAAATTGCGGAAATAAAAAATGAGAACCATGAAAAAGTTTTATGAGTTTTTGGGATGGAAGAGTCTAGGATGAGTTGTAACTGAATATTTAATGTTAAAGGGACTACAAGCGTAATTCTGTGTGACCTTCCATTTAAAGATGGACAGTCCCGCTTTATAATGGTACCCTTTAAACCTTTGACTGATCATCGAGGACAGAGCCCTCAGTGTATCTTAAATGCTGTATAAGAAGTCGCAAAATTGGAGTGTACGCTACCGTAATGTCTAAACTCAACGCGGATGACGCTGGTTTCAATATTCATATTCTCCCATTTCTAGAAAGTAAATATTAATATTCTCTAAATATAAAACAGCTTGCAAACCAAGTTTTCATCAATTACACAATTAGATAAATAAGAAAGTTTGTCATCGTTAATCAGTCCAACCTGTTTCGTGGATGAAAGACCCATTGAGCCCATAAGAGAGTTGAAACTGCTTGCAATTCCCCGGTTTCTGCCAATACTACCGTTACTTACAACAGGGGCCAGGGGTAACTTCAAGGAGGGGGGACCAGGGTAAGGGGTAAGGGAGTGATAAGGGGAACTAGATGGTAGGGAAGGAGAGGGAGGTGCTTCAGGGTGAGAAGACGTCTGGTATTGGATAGATGTACTAGAATGAATGTATTCCTGCAACAAACAAAAAAACATGATTAAATATCTATATGAGGATGTTTATCTGTCTTTTTGATTGAAAAATAAATTTATTAAATATCTCTATATTTTTGTCAACTATAAAATTTAAACTCTTGACTTTAGACCTAAAAATGGATATTATTCACAAAGTGAATACTGCCTAAATTAATTCTTTTTTCTGTGCCAAACTAAATTCCTGTTTAGACCCAAATTTAGGATTTTAGTAAACGGTAGAAAAATTACTATTTTTAAAAACAACTCAACAATGAGATTTAAGATTTGAACCAATGAGTTTTGCGTGTCATGAGACAAAATTTAGGTTGAAAACCGGAGGGGGGGTTTACCTGACTAGTTGAGCTGGATAAAGGATCTGAAGCATCAGTAACAGGCTGCATATGGAGCGAACTACGAAAATCAGCGTCTGCTCCAGGTTTAGGTTGAGACTCCCTCCCAAGCTGAAAGTTTGGCTCCGCCTCCAGTATTTTGGATTGTACACTGGCCCTCTCAATATCTAGTTCAACTGTGATTTGACTGAGAAAAAGGGGGAAATTTACCAATCAAACAAATAATTTTTTTCAACAAAAAATGTTATTTGTAGGATCAAATATTATATTACACACGAGGATTAAATATTTTTTTGCAAATTTTTATCATACAAAATGTTTTACATTTATTGAAAAAATCTAATATAAATTTTTTTTATCAGTTTGGAAATATTCATAAAATAAAAGTAAACCAAACCATGTAGTTAATATTTACATTGTATCCCTGTTAAACTCATCAAAATTAATCTAAAAAAGATCTAAGAATAGATTATTTCCCCTGCCTGAGAGGTAGGGTTGGTGAGGATGGAACAGGATAACTGCTAGGTTGGGTTGAAGGGAGAAGGATTGAAACATCTATCTGAGGAATAACAGCCCCAACGGATACTATACTATCTGTAGGATCTATGTTGGAAGTATCAGCAGAGAGGAATGCTAAACATTGTCTTTTCTAATTTAACATCAAAGAACCACTTCAAATCAAGTTTTTATAAGTCTGAAAACCTACCGGAAACCCAGGGAAAGTTAAGGGACTGTTGACATAATTTTTAAATGAGCTCCATTTAAAGAGTTGCATGTCCAATTTATAATTCAGTAGAAAATACGTCTTAGTTTAAATGACGAAGATTTTTTCCATTAAAAAGGGACAATTTACATTTATGTTTTCTACAATGACTTGCGGACGGAGACAAAAAATGAGTCGACAGAACACTTTTTAGAGAGAAAAACAACGATAGTTTTTCTCCGATAAAAGGTTTAAGCGTATTATTGGAAATCGGATAAGCAACTCATTTATTTAATGTTCACTTAAAATAGCGTTCACATTGAAGATCAAAATGATTTTTTTAACTTGCATCATACTTTTTACAAGAAATTTCTTTTACTTTCTCATTAAAGTAACTTCACCCCAATTTAGCGAATAAAAATAATATTCTGAATAAGATAAAGACTAAAGAGTTTAAGAGTTGATAAATATTAAAAGAAAAGTTCCTGTAAGCTCTGAAAGTGAGTCTGCAAGGCGTAGAAGGAAGATGAGCTGATGATGATCTATCTGAAGAGATACAAGACTAGTTGTATATGCCATCACATGCAAACTGGATTCGACACCTAATATTGACATTCATTAAAATCCAGATAAGTAAATACTTATTGACTCCCTTGATCCGAATCAAAATCTAATTTACAACCACATAACGATACCCTTTAAACCTCTGTCTGATCACAGACGGAAAAAAAATTCTTATTTTTCTCGTTGAGTATTGATGGCGATTTTCGGGCAACTGGAGTTTACACTTCAAATTCCGTGTTTGTTTACAGCGTATCTATATCCAGATTAACAATGAAATTCAACAAACATTATCTGTAAACTTAAATACTAAACTTAAAACTTGGAAACATATTTTTAGTGATTTTAAAAATTCTAAAAAATTTGAACGATATTTTACCTGTGATATCAGTAGACTCCTTGTCCGAGTAGAAATCTTGAAGTAAAGATCGATGAGGACGATCTTGCTTATCACAGTCAGGATTTGATTTAGCTGATCAAATATAAATCATTTAATCAATTTTAGGTGTCCATTAATCAATTCAAACATCAAAAGTTATAAAATATTTAAGAACATTAGTGCAATCATTTTAATTATCGGATTTTTATTTATCTTAGTATGCAGTATGGAAAACGAAGAAATGTGTGGGAAAAAAATAATTTTTCTTTTAACTTTTAAAAAACAAATGTAAAACTCTTGCTATTTTTCACATTTCATCCATTTCCATGCATCTCTTTAAATAGAATGTCAATTGAAATTACGTCTACAGTTCCTTTAAAATATACCTTTAGGTTTAGCATAAACCCAAGCTGCTAGGGGAACAGCATCAACTAGGGGAACAGGACGATGAGGACTACAAGGTACTGTGAAGTCAGCCCATAGGGAGTCAATAAGAACATACCAGACATCTCTAGATACAAATATACAAGAATATACCAGACATCTCTAGATACATAGATTCAAGAATATACCAGACATCCCTAGATACAGAGAAACAAAAATATTCCAGACATCTCTAGATACAGGGATGCAAGAATATTTTAGACATCTCTAGATATAGTGATACAAGAATATACCAGACATCTCTAGATACGGGATACAAGAATATACCTGACATCTCTAATTAAAGTAATACAAGAATATACCAGACATCCCTAGATACAGGGATACAAGAATATACCAGAAATCCCTAGATACAGAGATACAATAATATACCAGACATCTCTAGATACAGGGATACAAGAATATACCAGACAGCCCTAGATACAGGGATACAAGAATATACCAGATATCCCTAGATACAGGGATATAAATAAGACTATACCATTATTATTATTATTAAACAGAACTTCTGGGGGATTTTTAATCCCCGTATGAAGCCACACCCATCAGTACTTCCCCTCACGATACGTGTACAATCACGCCTGGGGTCATCTGTTTGTGAATCGCCTAGGGCATGTTCTATTATTGAACCCTGGATGTTAGCGTACCGGGTGTTGGGATTATCGGGAACCTGAGTAAGCCGAGCCCCTAGGTTGACATCCACCAACCCACCCACCCCCAGTTGGGACACAGGCCCAGTTCAGAGGGTGGTTTATTCCTTTGTAAAATCAACAATGGCATTCTCAATTACTTGAGTTTGGTCTGACAAAAATTATTTGTATTTATATTTCAAGTTTGGGTTTAGCTAAATTAACCCACCTGCTATTTATTTTAATATATTATCATACATCATTGGGCCCAACGTGCTGTCCGTTAGCACTGCAAACTGGGCACATTTTCCACTGTTACCCTGTACTTATTTTTGATGAGATTTCCCAATAGCAGGTTGCCAGACCTGGCCATATTCAGAATATAGATCCCTAGATACAGGGATACAAGAATTTTTCCAGACATTTCTAAATACAGGGCTACAAGAATATACCAGACATCCCTGGATACAGAGATACGAGAATAAACCAGACATCCCAAGATACAGAGATACAAGAATATACCAGACATTCCTAGATACAGGGATACAAGAATTTACCAGACATCCCTAGATACAGGGATACAAACAAATTAACCCCTTCAAAATCAGTGAAGCTATTTTAAGGACATTTTTTTAAATCATACCTGGCATCGGTCCAGAGAAGATCTTTTTTAAATGCACCCTGTAAACTTGGCGCCTCTTTTACAGCATCTGTTCCTGCATCATTAATAAATCATATAAATCTGTAAATTCTACACAAATGGTAAATGTTTAATAAGACATTAAATGCAAAAAAATAGACTTCTTTCAAAAATAGATAGGAAAATGTTTTTTGTTTTATTAACGCAAGTTTTATAAAAATCTTTATCTGATAAATAAAAGAGGTATTAAAACAGACTGTCAAGCGTAATTTTAAGTGACCCTCCATAGAAAGATGACAATGCCAATTCACAACGGTACCCTCAAAAGCTTTGCCTGATCATGTTTAAGATGTTGAAAACTGATTATTTATAATTGTGGTGTCTCTACAAAAGTGACTTGGGTATTTCGAGTGCAGGAAAACTTCCAAAATTTTTCAGAATTAAACTCTTTTAAAACTAGAAAAAAAAAGACTATCTTCCACATTTGGGATCAGATAAAGACTTCAAGGGTACCGTTGTTAACTGTTCCATTACGCTTACAGTTCCTTTAAAACTTACTTTTAAAAACAATTTTTATGTAAAACAACGATATTAAATCATTATTTCTTGCTCACCCTGTCATTTATCATATGGTTTATTACCTGTAGCATGAGACACAAACTTCTGACAAACAATGGAGACATCTTGCGGTCTGCTCGGGAACTCAGCTCCAAAGAAAAGAGGAGATTGTTGAAAAAGTTCTAGAACAGTGACTAGATCAGCACGTGATCCCGTTTCTAGGCTTCTATAATTGGCAATTGAGATCTGAAGAATTGTTCGTCAATATTTCATTTTTAATCAGTTTTAAAATCAAAAACATTTCAAAGATCAATTTCATTTCCGTCTGGATGAAAAATATTTTTTTAAAAATATTTTTAATACAGAAAGAGGAGTACTCTATCTAAGAGCAATTGTTTAGTCTTAAAAAAACTATTTAAAGCAATTTACTTATATTCCTAAGAATTTTTTTTTTAAACATAAAAGTATAAATTTTTAACTTCTTATGAAAAATAGGTTGTCCAATTGAATTCAATATTCATAATTTTTAAAGTAAATTTTAAGTTTAAAAAATCATTTTAAATGAGGATATACAATTTCAAATAATTAATCCAGAATTTGCATTTTGCAATTTCCATTTAAGAACTAAGCATTTTACCCTGGGTAAGTCAGAAAACACAGGGTGGACCCAGTGTTTTCATTTCTTGACACTGGTGTAAATCTACCCAGTGTAAACTGTACGTTGTTGTTGTTTGAACCAGTGTAATTCATGACTATTAAATCCGATCCTAGGTAAACACCAGTGTAAATGACAGTTTACACTGGTGTAAATCCTTTATTAGAACGGCCTATACCCTTTAAAAAAAAAATTAATGAAACTTCTTTTTTCATGCTACAATATTTTATATTTCTTAATTAAAAACGAAGCAGTGACTCATTTCTGTTTCTTTTAACTGGCCTGAGATATGTAATATTTGTATCTTTTAGACCCATTTTAATCCAGAATTACAGGAGAGGGAAAAAGGTGGCATAATTAAACAAGGGAGAAACATGACGCATTCCTTGCTAGCATGAATCTGAAGAGAGGAAGGTTTTAGACTAGATTTTATTTTGTGCGTCATTCTCGCGCCACAAACAATGCGAGGCATTAGCATTTCTAAACCAAAACAAACAATTTATTTCATTATGTCAAAATTGACTTAGTTTTCAATAAAGACTGACAGTTTTAAATAAAAGTTAAACGTAATGGACTACTACAGAAAATATCTTTCAAAATTTTATAATTTTGTTAAACAAAAATAATCAATAATATTGATTAAAAAAATAAAGAATTGATAATGAAAATTTAGTTAAGGTATAGTTTCCTAGTTTAATGTCGGCATAAAAGGTTTCCGATTTCTCGATATCTAAACTAGCCTGGAGTAAACATAAAACACTGGAAATATCTGGCTTGACAAAGTTCGTACAAATAACAAAATTCAAGTTTCTTTGCACAACTCCAATATTAGGTATTCAGATTTTTCAAATCGTAGAAAAAATCCGAACATTCTATATTGTTATTGGACCAAATATTGGTTTAGTAACATTGAGGAAAAACTCTAACACTGGTACATCAAAGAAAAATAAATGCAAAATCCCAAATTGGCATGATTTGTAGGTTATTATAGCTTTAGGAGCACAGATAAATATGTGCAAATGGCACATTTCAGCATCTCCCCCCCATGGTCAACTTTAGTGCTAGAATTTTTTTAAATATCTGTAAATTATCTTAAAGCATAATGAACAAATTCACAATTTTGATTAGCATAATCTTTCTGAATGTGAACATTTAAAGACGTTTTGACAGCTTTATTTCTAAATCTGAACATAGGATAAACTGAAATGTGCTTTTTGCAGATATTTGTCTATGCACACAAAGTTAAATAACTTACCAATTAAGCTAATTTGTTTGCGTTTTAATTTCCTAGATTTATTTCTCAATATAGATTAACTGGAAATTAATCAAGTAAGTTATCATATTTTTTGTACAATTTGAAAAGTAAACAAACCCTAATATTTGAATTGTGTTTGAGGAAATGAAAAATAAGACAACAAAATATGAATCCAATATTTTCATCGTCATCATGCCAGTGTTTCAACCTGAAGTGACTCCAGGGACTTCTGAAGATTAAGAATGAAAGCATTTATCCAGACTAGGGTCAGGACATCCAACCAAACTGTCAGGGGGTTCATGTGGACCATAAGGATAGGAGGGGGAAGAGGGAAGTCTAAAAAAGTAAATTAGTTTTTAGTGGATTTTTTAAAATCTTTTTTTTAAATCTATTTTTTAAACTAGACGAATCCGCAAAAAAACTTAGCTTGGCAAAATAATAATCCACTTCTAAGTTCCAGGTCTTGAAGATAAAGTATTCTATCAGGATCTGTTTTTTTCAAATGAATTAATCCACAATCCGTTGTTTTTCCTGCATCCGTAGGATTTATTAAAGAAAATGGACTGCACAGATACGTTATTTAAAAAGATTTCTTTTTTTTCAATTGTTAACTTTTTTGCACGTTCCAGGAAGGGGGGGGGTCTGTCGACGTTGAGGACTTAATCTCCATGAAAATCATAATTTACATTTCTCCAGGGGTGGGGCTAGGTCCCAAAAGCCCCCCCCCCTTGTATCCTAGATCCCTTGTTCCTACCGAAGTCCCCCGGGTAGTAGAATGAAGTGAACTCTAGATGAAGGAAAGGAATATCTTCAGGAAGGTGAAGACGGGCATGATCTCCCTTCAGCAGCTCCTACAAATAAAGGGGTATGAACTTTAATAAAATTATCCCCCCCCCTTGTGAATGTTTTGCCCACCTCTTATTACACTGTTGTGTGTTGTGGAGGAAAAAAATATTTTGAAGAGTTTGAGTGGAAAAAATGTACTCTAGCACAAATATTAGGTACCCATATTAGGTACCCACAGACTACCTGTACCCAACCTACTAGTATACTCCTGACTACCTGTACCCAACCTACTAGTGTACTCCTGTCTACCTGTACGCAACCTACTTGTGTACTCCTGACTACCTGTACCCAACCTACTAGTGTACCACAGACTACCTGTACCCAACCTACTAGTGAACTACTGACTACCTGTACCCAACCTACTAGTGTACTACTGACTACCTGTACCCAACCTACTAGTGTACCACAGACTACCTGTACCCAACCTACTAGTGTACTACTGACTACCTGTACCCAAACTACTAGTGTACTACTGTCTACCTGTACCAAACCTACTAGTGTACTCCTGACTACCTGTACCCAACCTACTAGTGTACTCCTGACTACCTGTACCCAACCTACTAGTGTACTACTGACTACCTGTACCCAACCTACTAGTGTACTACAGACTACCTTTACCCAACCTACTAGTGTACTACTGACTACCTGTGTTCTGTACCCAACCTACTAGTCCACTACTGACTACCTGTGTCCTGCACCCATTCTACTAGTGTACTCCTGACTACCTATACCCAACCTACTCGACCACTACTGACTACCTGTAGTTTAGATCCTGCAGTACTAGGACTAGTACTAGTCGCTACACACCACACAGATATGTCATAAAGTCGAACTACAACGTTCTCAGTCATCAGCCGAGACAACTTATCACATAAAACAGAATCAATATTTCATCCCCTATTTTATTTGTATACAATAAACACTATACTGTTCTAGTATTGACAGTACTATTTAAGAAATTTTTTTCACTTTTCTTGAACATCAAATTTTATGAGCCAAAAACTACCTCAATTCTACCATAACTACTGCCCAAATTTTTCCAAATTGTCTTCGGGGAAAATGTACATTTCGTAAGTTTTCTTTCGCTAAATTTCAGATTTGGAAGCTTGCCTGGGAAAACACCTTTGGTTGAGTACCTAACCTCATTTTAAATATTTTTAATTCTGACAATTTTTTAAATTTAATTCAAAAATATTTCTGCTTTTTCCTGATTGACAAACAAATCTCGCATAGCATCGTCTTCAGGTTCCCCTTTCTGCTGTCCTTGTCCCCCGCCAACACCACCAGCAGGACCCAGGGGCGTCTTCACAGCACGAGTCAGGACGGAGTGATTGCGTCCTGAATGTTTTCAACATTTAAAAGCAAAAAAAAATTTAGGTAATAAAAAAACATTTTTAGCACTAACTGACATTTTTTATATGTAAGTGTAATTTCAAGCGACTCTAAATGCAAAGATGACAATGCCCGATTCACAAAGGTACCTTTCAAAGCTTTGCCTGATTAAGTATTAATCATATATCCAATCTTTGTTTTTAATTTAAAAAAATAAATCATTTTCAATTGTGGTTTCAATAAAAGTGACTTGCGCAATGCGCATTTCTACTGCAGGAAAACAAAGGAATTATTTGAATAAAATACTTTAAAACCTTGAAAAATAACAATATTTTTCCACATGATTTAAATAGTACCGTTGTGAATTGAGTGTTCTCATATTAGTATGGAGTGTCTATTGAAATTTCGCGGACAGTCTCTTTAAGTAAATTATTTCAGTTTCAATTTGATGAGAACTCTTTCTGCAGGGATGTATATTTTTATAAACTAACCCTAAAATTCATATATTTTCCCCAAATTTTTTAAAGGGGAGAATGGTATTTTTAAGAGAATATACACCCCATGCTTTTTGTGACGTAAAGGTTAGACTTAGAGGTGACCTGAAAGTAGAACATCTAGAAGTCTTGTATCAAATGCTGCAAGGTTAGATTGTAACCAAGACTTATGGGGAGACTCGGAATACCTGAATAATCATTGTTGATCAAACAAAATCTTTTTTAATGATCAATTAATGATCTGATCAGTAAACGATAAAAAAACGTTGATCACACAGGGTATCCCACATCATATTAGATCGTAAATCGGTCTAAATTACGATTTTCGGGACTAATCAGAAAATTTAAGAAGAATGAATCATTTAAAAAATTGAATTAGGCTAATATAAGAATTTCTTGCGGAAAATACTAGTTTTTTCCAGTATTATGGTTTTATTTTGGCGTTAAAACTTGGAGATAATCAAATGTGATATAGGACGCTCTGTATATTAATAAATTATCATTGATACAAGTTAGTATTAAAAAATCTGATTTCTATTACCTGACCCAATGCTTCCTATCCCCTCGAGCCAGATGATAAGGATAGTAATCTATCTGCAGTTTTGACAGAGACACCTTCATAAAATTATTTTCTTGAATTTGAAGAATCAATCTTGTGTATCCTAAACCTCCTCACTGGTTAAACCTTTTATGTTAATTTCTCTCATTTCTGAGAAGAATTATCAATATCCCATAAATGTAGAAGTTGATATAGATAAGAGTGCAAAGATCAATTAAAGGTTAAAAAATGTGACACTTTATACCACTGGGTACGTTGGGTACAACTAGAGTAAAAATAATAACCAGCCAACCATCATTCCGCAGAGTACCAATAAAGAGAAATATACCTATAACTTCTGCTGTATCTATCAAAATATCCCCCTTCTACCTGGAAACAAAGCTCCACCGTTAACATGGAAAGTTCCGCCGTTAACCTGTAAAACTCCGCCGTATACCTGTAAAACTCCGCTGTATACCTGAAAAGCTTCATCGTATACCTGAAAAGCTCTGCCGCATACCTGAAAGGCTGCGCCAAATACAAAAAAATTCCGTCGTATACTCGAAAAGCTTTACCGTAGACCTAAAAACTCCGCCGTTTACCTGGAAAGCTCCGCCTTGAGCTAGATCTGGATGTGAACTTCTTCCTCCACCCGGGTCATCGCAGAAATGTAAGTCAATTCTATCACTGAAATGATTTAAATATTTTATTATGTGTACTTCAAAACTGTATATTGTACGTTATTTTTTACCAAGGTAAATAATAATAATTGGAGAATGTTTTACATATTTTCATTTTTAAAAATTATACCATCAACCACTGAGCTAAAAATTGTACCTTTCACCTTTAGCTCTTTTTTGTGGCGACAATATGACCCCAGGGAAGGATAATGTCCATAATTAAGTTTTTATGCCTCCTAGTATTTTCGATATTCTTTTTGTGGGCGGGGGGGGGGGGTCTGAAATGAAGGTAGTTTTTAAAAAGAAATAATTTCTGATGATAAAGATAATAATTTAATTCTACAACTTTACCGGGAAAGAGGTCTGTGAAGCGACTTTTTAAAAACCTTGTACCTGTAGAAATGATAACTGGTTTCAATCACATCGTACTTCTGAAAAGTTTTGGCCGCGGTTGATTGTGAAGAAGAGTTCCTGGAAAATGGAATTATTTAAATTATAATAATATTTCGTGTTTATTGTTAATGATAACTAATTAACTAAAGATATAAAAATAAAAAAGAAATTTCAAACCAATAAATTTCTCAGGACCACAAATAAAAAATCTTCTGTTCTTATTTAATTAAACAGAAGTTTCCATACTTCTTTATTTTCTTCCACGGCACATTTTGTCATTAGAAGTCGGATTTAATTGTACAACAGTTAAACATTGGCCGAATTTTAAAGAATTTAAGCGGCGGTTTAAATTTTGGCCGCGGCTTAAATATGTTTGGTTCCACTTAAAATTGTATCAAATGTTTCAAGATTTATGCCGGCGCTTAATTTAAACCGGGTTTTGGCGGATTTAAACCGCGGCTAAAATTCTTTAAATTCCATCTCATGATTCATTAATTTCAAACAATGTATTTCCATATATTGAGAATTCTATCCCAACAACCATACCAAGGCTTTGAGCAAATAACCTTGACTTTTTACGTTTCATCCCAGGTGTCATTTATCAAAGCTATAAAAAATATTGAGAAAAAAATCTCGATTTTCGTTTGAATCCGTAAAACACTAATGAAAAGTATAAACACTACCTAGACTTAGGATATCTAACACTATCCTGGTTTTCCAGCTTCCTCACAGCCTTAGCCTTCTGCGACGTCGTAGTGGCCTTCGCCACCAATCCAGAGATCGAGTCCATGAAGTGAACAGCAGCCTGGATATTTAAATATAGTGCTATATATTTTCTTGAAAAAATCATTCATCGCCTTCCTCAAACCCCATTTTTACCCAGTATTAAAGGAATGAAGAAACAAAATTTAGGGATCTCAAAAATACCGCCGTTCGTTAAAGGGAGTGTTCGCAAAAAATGAAAGGGTGTATAGGCTTACGGCGATAAATAATCGCTTTTGATTGCTACTAATCTTACTTTGATCTGTTGCGTCTATAATGAGAAAATTGTTAAAAACGTCTCATACCGAAGAACGTAGATTCCTTACAAATTCAGAAAGTTGCAACATACGACTCGGATCGTAACAAAATCAATTTAATTCCAAACAAAGCATTCAGATATTACAACTTATAGTCATCGATTATTTTTCGACGCATTTGTATATAGTTAATATTTCATAATATTTTTTACTTTCTATGATCTGAGAGTGACTTTTGAAAACATTCATTCCTGTTTCGAGGATTTAGATAATGAAGACGACATTTTCCATATTTTCCGGGAAGAGCCAGTCGTGAAAACAAGTTGTAAGCGAAATATTAATTTAAAAAAACACAAAATAGAAAATATTATCAGATATCAACTATGTACAAATGCGTCGAAAAATAATCGATGACTATAGGATTTAATGTCTAAATTATTTGTTTGATATTAATTTGATTTTTTTACGATCCAGGTCGTATGTTCCAACTTCCTCAATTTGTATGAACACTTTGTTCTTCGGTATGAGACGTTTTTAACAATTTTCTCCTTATAGACGAAACAGATAGAAGTAAGATTAGTAGCAATCAGAAGCGATTATTTATTGCCGTAATCCTACCCCCTTTCATTTTTCGCGAACACTCCTTTAAGTGTAATAATATCTATTCCAAAATGGCGCATTCGGAGAGTAGAAATTTTCAAAATTTCGTCAAACCTTTAATTGGTCATCTGTCAAGACCCAGAGAAGATCGTCTAGGATTATCACAAGTCTGAAAAGATAAATCAATCAACAAAATTTTAAATAATCTTCAGTAGTAATAACAAAATATTTACAGTTTTTATAGCGATGAATATCCCAAATTCAAGTTTTATTAAATCAATCAATCCATTATAAAATCCTTTATCATTAAAATCAAACCAGATATAATCAAATGAAATGGCGATATTTTATTAATTTATATAACCTGCATCCGAGTATTGAACAGTCACTGATTCTCTTCTTTAATGTTATTCTACATCTGGCCTGGTTAGTTATCAACCTAAACAACAAATGTTATCCTACACCTGGCCTGATTTGTTATCAACCTAAATAACAAATGTTATCCTACACCTGGCCTGGTTAGTTATCACCTAAACAAAAAATGTTATTCTACATCTGGCTTGGTTGGTTATCAACCTAAATAAAATAACAATGTTATTCTACATCTGGCCTGGTTAGTTATCAACCTAAATAACAAATGTTATCCTACACCTGGCCTGGTTAGTTATCAACCTAAATAACAAATGTTATTCTACACCTGGCCTGGTTAGTTATCAACCTAAATAACAAATGTTATCCAACATCTGGCCTGTTTAGTTATCAACCTAAATAACAAATGTTATTCTACACCTGGCCTGGTTAATTATCAACCTAAATAACAAATGTTATTCTACATCTGGCCTGAATTACTTAACACTTTAAGATATTCTTTGAAGCTTTAGAGATGAAAAAAATTTGCAAGATTTTCAACTTAATATAATCTTCTCATAATGTTTTTTTTTTACCACACTCAAACCAAAGAAAAGACGGAATGAGATTTTTTTGCCTTGTTAAGAAATTAGAAATAATAAGATCTTGAAAGAGAACCCGACATAGAACCCTCCGCCCGCCCTCAGGGTGCAGTGGATCTACATGCGGCCAGAGTAGAACTTCTAGGAACCCAAGGTATAAACTAGGGTTTTAGAAATGAGTAAGAAACCCAGCTTTTAGCCAATTTACGTATATAATTACATAATGATTGATATTAACATATAATTTTCAAGATAATAACAAACAAAAAACGCACAAAGATTCATCTTATTTTACTTTTACAATATTGAAATATAACCCAAAAAGAAAATTATTACAATGCTATTTCGTTAAAATCGATTTATTGAATCAAAATATTGACCTAAGAGGAGTTAAATCTTTGTTGACAGTTGACTTGGCTTCAATTCTAACAGTCTGCCAGGATATTTCCTGAAAAATAAAAACTCAATTAAAAATGACATTGCACATTAAGAGAAATAAATATAACGATTCTAACCTTGAACGTAAGAACCTCTGCTAAATCAACATCCTGCTCAACCGACAATCAATTTTCTATATTAATTTTTTTACTTTTTATATTCTAAAAATCTCCACACAAAAGTAATCTAATAATTTGATATATTTTTTCTCATTACTTTTAACTTTCAAACTGAATTTTTATGAACCATTATAAACACAGGCTCGCGAATAGAAAGGATAATAGTAAAATGTTCAAATGGTCGGTTATTTTCAAATATTTGTTAGATGCTCAGTAATCAGAGCAGTTTTAGTGCGCAACCATATCATTCAGTCAATCAAGCAATCAATGAACCAACCAGTCAATCAATCATAATTATTCATACAGACAAAATTTCAAAACAATATTTCAACGTTAATTCCTAATTAGATCGGGTTCCTTTAGTCGCGTAAGCTGGAGGTTTGCTCGTTGCCACGTCGGTGTCTTGGATTCAATCAAGATCCTAATCAGATGGATGGTTATTGGTTATGGTAGAGGATCCTATTTCTTCAGGGATGTATACTATATGTTCTTAAAGAATTGATTTTTGAAGATCTGGTGTAAAAAGAGAATAAGACGCCATAAAAATGCAAGTTTTTTTTTGTATCCTTATTCATAATTTGTACTCAAAAATTTATTTATTTTCCCCAAAGTCATTTATTTTTCCCAATTTAGTCAATAAACCCCTTTAACTATTTTTTTCGCAACGCGCGAACATACCCATCTTCTAGGGGAAAAAAAGATTTCAAAAGAAGAGGGGGGGGGGTGATTTTTCAGGAATATTTACACTCCTGTATTTTTGCTCTAACGAATGAGAGAAATAATGTTAAATTAATGCTTATCATTCTTACATTTTACCTCAGACGAGATCGTAAATGCTTTATTTCAAGCTAAAAAAAAAAAGAAGAGGAAAGAATTCAGAATGATGAATGAAAGAAATAATAAATAAAGACATAAAAGAAGCAAATATAAAGAAAATGAAAAAAAATATATGAATAGAAGGATTAATGAAATGATGAAAGAATGAATGAAAGGATGTATGAAAGAAAGGAAGGATGAATGAATGAATTAACCTGGACATCTGGAATGAAGCTGTGAATGCTAGACTAGAGAACGTTACGTAAACAAGGTTTACCGAGACCGTTATACCGTCCACTACCTAAAGTCAAATCTAAGACTTAAATGAACAGTCTTTATAATTTGAATTGACCCTCCAATTCCCGATTCACAACTGTTCCCTTTAAACAATCAGTTTAAAAATCAGTTTTCAAAATGAAACACATGGCTAGCTAATTCATAATTAATCAGACGAGGTTTTAAGGGTACAATTGTGAATCAGACATGTCACTCTCAGCAGAGGTTCCTTACAATTACTTGTATAGCCCCTTTAAACCTACTTAACACAGTCCTTTTAGTGTTTTTTTTCATAAACAGGTTTATGTTATCATTATTCACAACAACACACCGTCCTTTTATTGCATTTTTTCTTAACAGGTTTATGTTATCATTTTTCACAACAACACACCGTCCTTTTAGTGCATTTTTTCATAAACAGGTTTATGTTATCATTATTCACAACAACACACCGTCCTTTTAGTGCATTTTTTCATAAACAGGTTTATGTTATCATTATTCACAACTACACACCGTCCTTTTATTGCATTTTTTCATAAACAGGTTTATGTTATCATTATTCACAACTACACACCGTCCTTTTAGTTTTTTTTTCATTAACAGGTTTATTTTATCATTATTCACAACTAAACACCGTCCTTTTAGTTTTTTTGTTTTTAATAAACAGGTTTATGTTATCATTATTTCCCTGAACCGAGGCCTAGGGGAGCTCATGTATCTTGTAGCTCCCCGGCCACAACTAAAATATGCTGCTCCCCGGCCACAACTAAAATATGCTGTAATATAAGTATTTATTTACTTTTTTGTTTTTATTTCTTTAATTCGAATATTTATGAATAATGAAGAAAACGCAAATAACACATTATAATTGTTTGTAACAAGATCTTCTAGAGAACCCCACACCGCTGCCGGCGCCGGAGGACTCACGCATCAGAGTGTAGAATACGGCCAGAATTTAACGGTTTTAAAAATTAAAATAATTTTCTAATATATGGAAGAAAAACTAAAAAATTGGGCACTTGATGCATTTGATATCTCTTAGTAATATTTTTGTTTTACATAGCAACCAAAATCTCCTTACATTCCTAACTTAGTCACTAGTAAGTACAAAACATTTTTTTTGTAAGGGAGGGGGGGGGTGATTCTGATTTGGATATACTAAAACAGTATTCAAAATTACTGACCTGATCTCATCTAGACTCAGCTGTATTGGAACAGTTTTCAATTTGGTCCACTGTATTCGTATAGCAGCCCTAGGCAATGTCAAATTCATTCATTCATTCATTCATTCATTTAATCAATAGTTTTTTCCACTAATCAATCTATAAATCAATAATTTTATAATCATCAATCAATCATTATTTCAAACAATCAATCAATAAAATTTTGTTACCTGTTGCATGTAGCCTGAGTAAGCCGAATCCATGCTGGCAATTCAAGCAATTCCGTCAGCAAAACCTGGAATAGAAATAATCGATAAATCACTCTGATTTCTCCCCTTAAATTCACTGATTAAATGAATCAGACACTTGAGTAATGAACTTATTCTTCCTACTCCTCCACACTTTACCTTATGCTTTAAAGGGAGAGACCGGCTAAACATGGTAGTCGTCTTCACAGTAAAAAAAGAAAAATTCTAAGAAGCAAGCCTAGATGAAAGAATTTGCATAAATCGGGGAGATTTTAAAATGAATTTTAAAACTTATTTTCAATGATATAAGTTCCTTATTTTTCTTATTTTGTATACATATGCAACTACATAGTGTGTTTAGTTCTCCCTCTCCCCTTATTGCTGAAAGATTGATCTGACTTGGAGACAAGTTCTTCACAAACTGATCAAACGATAAACTCATTTTTGATCAATGTGGATTTCTTAAATCAAGACTGAACGAGTAAAGACAGAAATAATAGCGATCTTCAATTTATAGAGTGAAATTTTAATTGGACAACAATAACATTACTAGTTTGTACTTTTAGATGTATAACATTTTCATGTTTTTCTTTTAAAAAAATTATTTTAGATAAATGTTAATCGCCCCCAGTCCTTTTTAGAGTAAATTAGGCGGATTAATTTATAATTTGCGTCTTAGCACACACTATAAGGATTAAGGAATGGATCATAATCTAAGAATTTTAAGGACTGAGGGAAATATTAATTGATATTTTCAACAAACAAATTTATGTGTCGGATCGGATTGAAATAAATTTAAAAATGAGCTTCTTCGATCCTTGGAGAGATGTTTGAGAATCTGTCCTTTTATAAGTCCTGCCATGTTTTATTTATGAAGTTGTATCTACATATTTAACTTTAATGTCAGGTTTCTGAAAAATAATTTATGATTCGTATTTTCCATGAAAAAGCGTATTGCTTTATTAAAATACCACACAAAATACAAAGTGAAATGAATTACATTAGCTATTTCCCATGTAAAGACTTATGAACAGCCTATTATGTTTTGAAATACCACCAAAAACCATGTTTGAAAATCCTATCCTTGGAAATTACTAAAATCAGTTTCTCTGTCGTGAATACCCTGGGAACAGAGAGTGAAGGGTTCTACCTGCTGGGTATATTTTCGTTTTGATTCTCGAGAATTCTATGATAGATGGATAAAACTAATGCTTAAACCAGTGCTTAGGATCAATTTCATTTTCATGCTGATCAAAGATAAAGACACTTATAATAATATATCTCTTTTTATATTTTTCCCCTGGGCTCAAGATCCGTGGATCCAAGTCCAGGAATCTAAAGTGTTGCGGACCCAATGAATCCAGATCCGGATCCTGAACACTGAATCCGGGTCATTCCAAAACATAAGGGACAGACTCAGATGTGACCATCTCCGATTTGGCTCAAATTTTGCACGGAGCTCAATGTTTAGAAAAAAACATATATTATCAAAATATTTTTGAGGACCTCCGGGGTCGGAGCTAAAGGGCATCAAAATTTTGAAAAAATGGAAATTTGAAAAAAATGTTAATTAAAAAATGTTGCAACTTTTATGTTACTGAAAAAAGTAAAATTTTTAATCAAAAAAAAAGTTCGAAATATTTCAGGGATAAAAAAGACAAAAATATAAAAAAAATCTCATAAGAAATCTATTTTTAAGGTAAAACTTGCGTTTCAGACTAATTTGGCGGCTTCAGACCTCAGAAATTCATTTTCAGGGGCAAATTAAAAAGATAATACAATTTTCCCTAGTTTTGATACGGACAGGGCAGGGGGGTGGGGGGGGGGG